TCTTTTTCCAATTTACAGTTCACTTTCCCTATAATGGACCGCTTGGCTAGGAAAAAATGTCCGTTATAGAGCGAATCCATTATAATAATAATTTATATATGGACATATAAATTGGAAAAAGAATTAATTATAATAAATATTTCTAGATGTCAAATTAATGAAATTTAAAATTTTTATATAGAATGAATCACTTTGAACTGGCTTAGGCTCTTTGTGAAAGTTAGCGCATGTCCGAGCAAGTAAAATAATCCAGAAATGTAGATAAGAAGAATAGACTCACTGTTGAAACAATTCTCCAGATCTAAAACAAAGAGTAGAAGCTATCAAAAATAAAAATATAGAAAACTGGATAACGCGTTTTAGTAGAGAACATAAAAAAGAATTAGCCTAGAAAGAGTTGGACATTATTATGTCATAAAAACATACGAACCAATGAACATGATTTTTTAGTTTGTCATTAAATTCCAATATTACGGGTAAAAAAAGTTGATTTTTATACCATAATCCCCAATCAAGATTGAAATAGTTACAAAAATGGCTAGGACAAAGGGGAATATTTTTTTGATAAAAATGTTCATAACAGTCTATTTATTTGACATCAAAATGTTTGTTATAATAGGAAAATAAAGCGAACTATCACAAATGGGACATTATAAAACTGATTGTGATGATAATAACTAAATTTGATCCTTGAAATTCTTGGTAATACTAATGTTCACTTTGTATGGTTTTGTTGCATTATGCCCCAAATTAGGATAAGAGACTATACTACCAAGAAGTATATGCTTGGAAGACTCTATGAACTGTTCAATTTTTTTTTTTGTTATTTGGACATTTACTCGACTGGTAATAAAAAGTAAGTGATCGCCAATAATTTGTGTCACCATGAAATTTTGCACCAATAGCATACAATTTGTAGATCCAAAATTGATTACACGATATAAAACTTAATTCGTTTTTTCTACTAAGCAAACAGAACATGATATTATAATTTTTTATGTTATAGATTAATATTATGATGTAAGTAAAACAAGTTTCGTCAAATGACCTCAGAAGCGGTTTTCAGTTTTAGACTTGCGCAAAATTATTTTAAAAAAGGTATCCAGCCTACAACCTCCCATTTTTTTTTATTAATAGATTAAAAATCACAAATTCGGTCAGACTTTTTTTTGGCTTCTTGCTTCACTATAAAACTTACAAAAATCAACTCTATTACTATTACTATATTATAAATAAATCGATCAAATATTCAATAAAATAGAACCAAGAAAAAGTCTGATCAACAACCCACAAAAGTTCACTATTGAATGTAAGCATTTTTTTTAGAATGTTATTATGGATGAAAATACTGTGTAAATATTTATTGATTATTTGATTGTTT